GAGAAAATTGCTGAAAGGTTTGTTTGTTGTTAAAGCACTAATCTAGTCAATGGGCTATCTGTGTTCTGCCCACCGTGGGTATCAAACCCGACTTTTAGTGTTATAAGCCCTCAAGCTTATCGCTGAGCCACCGGGGAAAGGCGAATTTGCTTCTTTTGCTTATTTCATTGTTAAGGGTAAATGGGATATCACTGTGGCCCCTTAGGGATTAAACTCTTACTTTTAGCATTAAAAACACTCAAGATTAGTTCAGAGTTACAGAGAAGAAGAGATAGAACCAAATAATAATTTTCGAGGCTTAACTAGCAATTTACGAGAAACAAGTATTTCTGGGATACATTCGTATAAATTCGTTTATATATAGGTTCGCCCCACTTTAGCTAAATGTATATTGAAGTGAATATTAACGAATCATCCATCTTGAACACCTCATTAGTTTACAAAGCAGACTTTCTCTCTCTCTCTCTTCTTTTTTTTTTTTTGAGGATTTACGAAGATAAACATATTAATTGAATGACGGCCATTTCCAACCTTGAGGTTTTACTAGATCACGAGTTCATTTAATTGCAATCATATCCATTTCTTGTTTATCCAAAAGGAAACATCATATTAATTCCATAAAGGCCATTTTCCTTCCTTGTATGCCCACATGTGAACATCTTTTTAATTACATAACGGCCATATTCCTTTCTTGTATATTCACATGGAAATATCATATTATTTACATAACGGCCATATCTCTTTCTTGTATATCCACAGGGGAACATCATATTAATTGTATAACAGCCATATCTCTTTCTTGTATATCCACAGGGGAACATCATATTAATTGTATAACAGCCATATTCCTTTCTTGATTATACACATGGGATCATTATATTTATTACCTAACACAGAACCTAGGTGTAACACCTCTAATTAATTATACTAGATAATCATACACGCCCTGGATGTGAGAGAGCTAACTAGATCTGTTTGAAGTAGGTTCTGCAAAGGTAAGGGCTTTAACTTGCTAGTTTAAAAACCAGTGCTTGAACCGAATCGAACAAATTACATGAAATTTGACTTTTGATGAAAACTACAGGAAACATTATCTTTCAAGTGACAGGTCATTAAATGAGTTAACTATTGTAGTTACATCAGAATAATTGTATATATATATATATATGTGTGTATACATATAAACATTTGTTTATTCCATCTTAAGACAACAGTAGTTAGGGTGCCCGGTGGTAAGTAACCCCAGAGCTCGTGGCTCGTCTCCCTTTGCAGTAAAAACGCGCTCCGCAATTTGGGGTCGTGAGGACGGCTTAAGAGTGATGGTTAACTCCCACTATTCGGTCACACAAGAGTAACCTAATAGTCGGCGGCGAGTGCTGTTGAAGGCTATCTGAATAATAGCCTATGTGTAGCTTTGCTCGAAACCTTTAAATAAACAATCCTTTTCTGTGAATTAATAACAGTTATAATACCTTTGTGGATCAAATTTGAATATACGATGCATTGCCGGAGTTTGTTTCAACTTACAGGATTATTTTCCGCCCTCATTGTTTCACCTTATGGCATTATTTTCAGCCCTCATTAGTTCACCCTGATGGGATTATTTTCAGACCTCATTGTTTCATCTTACATTGTACAATTCATGAGAAGTTAGATAACTATGTTACTTAACAAAACCAACTGTTATACCATGCCTCTTTCAGTTTACGTTTACCAGCTGTTGCATGATAAATCATGTTGTAACAGCCCACAATCCACATGTAGCTTATGTTCACATTTGATAATAAAGCTACAGAAACATGAGTTCAGTATGGAAGAGCAATTGAATAAAACATGAGTGATTATTCATAAAACTAATGGTGTTTTCAGAAATGTTTATATATAACTAAAAACAATCAAATTTCTTCTGAGATTATTTGTACCAAAAATACATCATGCATCTTTAACTCTTAACTAACAAGAAATTATATTGATCTTGCTTAGGAATATTGAATTACACGTTCAAGCCTTCGTTCTTAATACACTTAGCGTTTCCTAATAATTTCATACACAAACAATCTGAAGAGCAATATTAAATAATTGAGGTATAACATGATTTTTGAGCTTTACTCCATTAGGGATCCGATCTTCATCTCTACACTTATCAGAATTATATGAAAACCCTAGATAAATCTTAAAGTAAGGTAAATAAGACCGGCTGAATGATAATTGTAACATAAAATAGAAAATTGTATATTTTAAGATCCAGGACCTAAAGGATTTTGAGAAGCTAATGATGAACAAACATGACATCTTCTGTTCTTATTTTTAAAGATATTTACATGCACTTACAAGCACATTCAGTTCCCTCCGACTGAAAAATTTATTAACCTAATAAAGTCTTTCTTATTTATTTCGTAATTCCTTTTCTCCGCCAAGAGAAGATAATGTAGAGGCCTAATTTATTATTTGATTTGCTACTCCCGCTGCAACAGACTAGTTTCGCCGAATTCACGGCTCATCAGTGCTGCTTGAAAGAACAAAGCAAATACGTAAAGTAGGCCTCATATAGTGGTGGAATGTAAGCAAGATGTTTGTTTTAAATATATATATAATGGACTACACATCTAAACCCAAAGTCTTTCTTGTTCATGCTGAAAATATTAAACATTTATTAATTCAGCTAAATATTGATCATATTTTTATTCATAAACTAAAACACTTACGTATAGAGTACAAACATGATACGAGTTTCCAGAAGTAAAACTCACCAGTTGTTATACTAAAATGTAAATAAATACTACCAAGCTCTAGATTAAAACATCATTAAGTTTATGGATAGTTTAAAGTTTTTAACTTTCTAAACTGGATGCATCAAAGGTTCCGGCACTCACCCGTAGTTTCAGTACTTCAAGAAGACAGCATACAGCCAGAACAGTGAAACACTGTTCTTTACAGAGTGTTCCGAGTGTCGCCAGCACAAGAGTTACTCCACAGCTCCATAAGTCTTGTCCGTAGAAAAAACAGCTCGCTATAACACAACAGGAAACACCAAAAACCCAAATAATTATCTCTTATTTCTATACTCTTCATGGTTGTATCTTAAATCTAGTCAAGTTTATATTATTTAAAATAGCTTTTATGATGCTTTAGTATAAAAAAAAGAACAAAAACAAATAAACATCACATTTATTTTAATTTTACTTTACTTCTCACAAAAGCCTGTACTTTTAGTTCATTGTCCCTTACAGTCCATTATTAAATTGTTTCCAGCTTTCTGCCACGGCACCATTTGTTCCGACTTAGTTAAGTTAGGTTAATTAACGAAATTGTCCACTGTTACATGATTAGGTTCCACTTGCTGTGACACGTCTTGTTACTTACTGCGTGTTTATTAAGTAACTCATGGTACAGTTTCTTGCTACATTGTTAGGTTAGGTTAAGTTACTCATGTCACGGTATGTTGATATTTGGTCAGGTTAAGTTAGTAAAGACATGGTTTGTTGTTAGGAAAACTTAATCATGGTACGGGTTGTTAGGTTAAGTTAGTCATGGTACGGGTAGTTGCTACATTGTCAGGTTAAGTTAGTCATGTCACGGTTTGTTGCTATTTGCTTAGGAAAACTTAGTCATAGTACAAGTTGTTAGGTTAAGTTAGTCATGGTACGGGGTTGTTGTTACGTTGTTAGATTAAGTTAGTCATGGTACGGGTTGTTGCTACATTGTTAGGTTAAGTTAGACATGTCACGGTCTGTTGGTACTTGGTTAATTTGTTAACGTTTTAAGAACTTCATTATATATATATATATTAATAAATATATAAATAAAAAGTTATAATAGTTTACAAACACGTCACATTAGTTGTTGCTTGATGTGAATCGTACAAGTAACAAAGATATATCGATAAGATGTCATATTATTAACTTCGAATCTAAGATCCATCTAATCTTACCCAGTACCAACATAGAAAGTAATTTCCGAAGCATTTGCTGGGGAAAGCTAATGAACTGGTTGCCATATGTCTGATTAGGGAAAGCGAATGAGCTGGTTGTCATATGTCTGATTAGGGAAAGCGAATCAACTAGTTGTCTTATGTCTGATCAGGGAAAGGGAATCAGGTGGTTGCCATATGTCTTAATAGCATAGTTCAATGAAATATATAAATTAATGAGAGAGACAGAAGACGAATGAAAAGTTAATACTCTAAAAGTGGAAATTCGAGTTCTATCCAGCGGAATTGTAGACTGACCACAAAAATCAAAGCATTCCATCAGTTCAGAGATTGGTACCTAACGTACAAGATGGACAGTAAAGGCTCTAAATAACAGACAGGTAAACCTGAACTAACAGGTGGAGGTAACGAATGGATCGTCCAAAGTTTCTGAAATGAAAGCGAAGAGGAACAGAGGGAAACTGAAATGTTCGTATATTTTGGTTTTCCTTTTTATAAGTCTAGAATTACTCATCAATATTCGCTTTTTATTCTTTTAGTTATCTTTTTTTTTTCTTGCCAAGGAAGAGCAAAGTTTTAAACGAACTTCCAAAATCACACACTCTTTTTTTGTTTTTTGCTGACTAATATCATATTGCTCGCCGGTGCCTCACACGACGTGAAACTACGCTATTAGAAACGTATGCGCAATCGCAGATATACAGTCTAATCAGAGCAAATGGATTCTTTCTAGGTCAGTATATAAACAAGCGCCGACCTACAGGGAATTAGGACTAAGTTGTATCATGAGAAATGGCAAATAGAAACACAAAGAAGAATGAAGCGAGCCTCTATGATAACCAGCCGAAGACACGTGACATTACTCCTGTATTTCAATTACATTACGTATATGTTTCCATTAAAGTCTATTTCAGACTTAATTCAATATTCACAAGCTGCTTGTCTGTAATATTCTTGTAGAGCTAGCTGCCTCTCAACCTGCCACGAGTTATTATCTGAATTCTCTTTACACTCGTCCTCAGACAAGATTATTTTTGCGAAGCTTGGAAAAATTCGTGTTTTTCTCAACATAACATTAAACAAGAAGTGATATTCACGAATACTGTCAGTGATAAAGTAATCTCTGGGAAAATGCACATGTTAATCGTTAGAGGAAAAGTCTGATGGTTTCTCAATTTTAAAGAAAATCTTTCCAGGTCATATTCGATTTTATTCAATTATACACGAGAAAAGAAAAAAACAAACTAAAACACAAAGATGGACAAAGAAAACGAAGAGTAAAATAGTGCACAGCCGTAGAAACTCCCCAAAATAATTTATCTGTTTTGATATATTGATGTTATAAAATGTAGAATCTCGTGTTCTGATGAACTTTTAAACATACTTTTTAGAGTATCAAACCTTATTTAATAAGAAAGCTTTAAGCATTTTTGGCCGTATTATGAAATCTATTTAAAATGAAGACACTTGAAGCTAGCTTTCTGTATTTAATATAGGCTTAAAGTACATATTTTCATGTTTGTTTTTTCTTTATGTAACACTAGACGGCGGTAATTGTTACTTGGTTAACTAATGTTAATAGTGGTTTAGTTTTTTAACGCTTTAAAAAATTGTTTATATAGGCACACTTTATCAGATTTCAATATGACAGACTATTTGCTTCTATTAATGTTCCTTTGGAAATGAAAACAATAGCAATTTTAACAGGCATCTGTTGAGAGACAGTTGGGATCTAAGACATAAACGGAGTTTGAATTTTACAGTCTGAATGGAAAAAATTAAAAGGAACTTCCTTGGTCGAAAACCAACGAAATTAAAACTAAGACTTAAGAAAGCTTTCATAATTGGTTATATCGTCTTGTAAAACATATCTTTTAATAAGTTATGTGTTCTAGTTAGTGATATCTTCTGATGATTAATATCTCCTAGTTAGTGACTTATTCTAGAAAAAATATCGCATAGTAAAATATATCTTCTAGTGAGGGTCGGATTAAGTCCTCAGGAAGTCTTAAGCTAAGATAGAACAAGAGCCTCTCTCTCTCTCTATATATATATAAGTTCATGTTTTATAGAATTATCGATATTCAAGTAATATTTGCGCGTTGAATATTACAAATTAGACGTATAAAAACAGAACAGCAACAGCACAAAATGTTTTTTTTTATATTAAGAATAATTTCATATTTGAACAAAACATAATAGCTAGACGTCAGTTATTAATGAATTATTTTCGGAAATTCCAAGAAATTCAGTTAGACGTCATAAGTTTGCGTCTGATTTGGCTATTTATAAATAATAACTTGAAACTGATCTATTCGTGAAAGGATCATAAAACGGAAATTATAAATTATGAACAGCAGTCATAGTCATTGACTACTAGTAACGTTTTTAGTTTTTTTTTACTCTTTGAGGGGAGGGGTAGATTATATATTAGTGCGACCCTGCTTCTAGGACCTCACAACTTCTAGCTAATTATATCTCAAGTTTCAATTATTGATGTTTTCTAGAGAAAAATACCTTCTGTTAACTTATAATTTCTAGTAACTGATGTATTCTAGCGAGTGATATATCATAATAAATGATATCACCAGTAAGAGACGTGTGCATTTAATGTAGTTATAATCTTTTTACATGAAAAGTTCAGATCGTAAGACTAACCTGTCCCATGTGAAGAGTGCCTGTTTTTCACGTAGTACATTAAGGCACTGAGAAAAAAGATGGCTGATAAAAGCTCCGCTCTACCGACTATCCCGGCTACCTGTAGTGATGTGAGAAAGATCAGAACCCGTGAAACTCAAACAATGTCTTCAATATCTTAAATATAATAACGAACTATATTAATAGAAATATCTCGTAATTCAGTTCGAGTTAAACAAAGTTTAGAATATTAATATATTCAATAAAAATGATGCATTCAACAGCACATCCTTCCCGTCTGGAATAATGCTAGAAGGAGTATAATCCGTTGAATGTCAACAATATATTTAATAAACATGTTGTTTTGAACAGTATATATTTTCTCTCTCTTAAACAATGTTAAGACATTAAAACCCACTAAACACAAACGATGTGTTTAATGAAACGTATTGTACAACATACCATTTCCATCCGCAACAGCGTTTGAAGAGTGTGAGTTAAGACACTAAACTCAAATTATATATAGTCATATACATGTTAACGCTGAGCAGTCAAATAATTTTAAACAATTTATTTAAAATTTAAAGCATTAAATACTGAAGATACCGAATAAATATCATTTATTCTAAGGTAAATATTATGACGAAAAAGTTTTAAAAAAACGACTTTTACTCTCCAGATAATTATAAAAACCTTTTATTTCAGATAACGTTTAGCCATTTCTGCTTCATCAAAGCTAGTACTACTAATGAAGTTGAAACGGCGAAAAGTTGGCTGAAATAAAAAGTTTTTATTATTATCTGTGTTAGATATATACGGCTGTTCCAATTTCAGTTTAATGTGTTATGATTTAGATAGTTTATATAGTGTGAGTGTTAACTTTAGATATCTTTAGAAGCGATAGATTATCGCAGGTTTGTTTACGTAACTGTTTACGAATCATTTGCTTTGTCATTGCGTCATATTACTAGAACCTTCTAAGTTTCCTCGTTGTTTTAATTGACTATTATTGTATTATAATATCTCGTAGTGAGTGGAATGTTCTAGATCTCTGTCGGGGTATCAATACGCCTCGAAAATTTAGTTCGAGAGTTAGCTAGCTCTAGACTGCGTGATTGTGAGTTTAGCCATAAAGAATCTATAGTAGTTATTTTAAAGTGAATTAACACAGATCGTATTGTAATAACAGAGTAGAGAAGAAATAATATGTCTTGTCAGTTGTGTTCTAAAGTAATTGAACCAACCTGTGTGGACTTTGACGAAAAATAAGACAGTTATTTCAAGTTCTGGATACAACTGTGGTAACCAACATTTATAGTGGTGATTTTAAAGTGCAATTATCACAGTCTGTATTGTAATAACAGAGCAGGAAGAATAATTTGTCTTGTCAAATTGTGTTCTAAAATAATTGAATCAGCCTGTGTAGACTTTGACGAGAAAAAAAAAAGAGACAATTATTTAAAGCTCTGGATACAACTGTGATAGTCAACAGTGTAACGAACATTTGTTTATATGTTTGACTGGTTTTAATATATTATTTTAAAACAAGTCGACTGTGGGTTGTTTGTTTATTGTTCAAATTTATCGCCAACACGTCACAGACACCTACTGTAAAAAATCCGGCCCATACATACATAAAACCGACAATCTGGAGAGTAAAGGTAGTTTTTTTCCAACTTTATTGCCAAGATGTCTAAATCTCTCTAGTATGTACAATAAATTCTGAAAAACAACAAAATATTGTGACGAAAAGTCATAATTTTTAATAACAGATAATAAATTTTGACGGTATGTTTCATGTTATTGAAACACTTGTGTTTTAAATTATTAGCGGTACATAAATAATTATACATCAAACCAAACAAACTGCTTACATCCAATTATAATATGAGACATACTTAGTTTATTTGCTTCGCTCTTTCATGCAGTACCGTTGGGCTGTGAATACAACGAAACTAGTCTACTGCAGCGGAAGTAGCGAATCAAATAATAGCTTAGGCCTCTAGGTTATATTTTCTTCACTGAAATGTACGGTTTTGTGAGAAAAAGAAGTTCACAAATAAATAAATAACTAGTTAATTCGCTAAATAATAACGGACAATTAATTGAGACACTATGTCACATTTATCTAAACATCTAAATTATTTTAGGTTATTAGTGGTGAAAAAAGGATTACACATCAGAACCAAACACTTTTAAAACTTGTAATATTTAATGACAGCCATTTACTTAACAGTGTATTTAAGTTTATAAATGTGTTAATAGTAAGCCGTGTAATTAAAAAACTACAACAAACATACTAACATTAAACAAATTGATCTTAATATTATACAGTCTATACGGCTTAATACTTGCGTATTGAATACCCTACAACTAGTGTTTGAGAGTGAAGAATCTACAATACAATTTGTTAAATATGAAACATTCCAAAATAAAAACATGTTAACTAGTCAACAGTCTAAAGTGTAACATGCTAAATAACAGAATAACAAGTTAAATATTAAACAGCGTAATAGCGAGGCTAGAGTAACGACGTACTTACGGCCTCGGTGTGAACAGGATGAACAGAGAATATTAAAGCCGCCACAAAACTTGCAAGAGACGATAGAAACAGCAGGCACGTTCTGAAAGAAGGATCATATATATAAACTCTTTTAAAGTATAATAAAGTAAACCGAACAAAGTGCTCTACTCTTAAAGAACTCCACAGCGATCCGTACAAAGTACTCTACTCTTAAAGAACCCCACAGCGATCCGTACAAAGTACTATATTCTTAAAGAACCCCACAGCGATCCGTATAAAGTACTCTACTCTTAAAGAACCCCACAACGATCCGTATAAAGTACTCTTAAAGAACCCCACAGCGATCCGTATAAAGTACTCTACTCTTAAATAACCCCACAGTAATCCGTACAAAGTATTCTACTCTTAAAGAACCACACAGCGATCCGTACAAAGTACTCTACTCTTCCTTAAAGAACTCCATTGTGACCCATTGTACTCTTTCTTAAAAACTCCCACAGTACTCCGAACAAAGAACTATGTTCTTCCTTAAAGATTCTTACAGTAGACTTTAAAGAACACTTTATTACTACTACAACCCGAATAAAACACACTAATAGACCTTAAAAACTCCCAGTGATTTGCACAAAGCACTCAACTCCTTCTTAAAGAACCATATATTAATCCCTAACAGGAATCGAGTTTCCTATCGCTGAGTTAATCAGATCTTGTACAGATAGCTGATAGTGTTGGTAGTTTTTCTAGACAACTTACATTTTAAAATAACCACACAGTGACCCATACAAAACACTATGTTCTTTTTTAAAAGACACTACAGTAACCCGAACAAAGTGATCAGCACACAGCACTATAGTCTTCGTCAGAGAGCACTACAGTAACCTGAACAAAATACTATACTTGTTATGGTATGAATGCTTTTTCCAAGCTGGCGAAGCATGTTACAGATTTGTAACAAATGACTTATATTAATAGTGTTCCAACAATTACTGTGTTTGTTGTGTCGTAGCTGATCTGATTCTAGATTGAGCGAAACGCGTCGTCGGAAATGGAAAAGGCAAACATTGTGTGGTTGAAATATTATTATTATACACTCTTCTAATTTTTAAAAATCTATACGGAAATAATATAAAAAATGCAGTGTTAAAAATATAATAGGTCTAATACTAATGTCTTATGACAAGTATAATTAATTAAAAGCGTTATAGTCTTCCTTAAATAACGTTATTGTAACCCGAACAAAGTACTACACCCTTCCTTAAAAAATCTTACTACAAGTATAATTAATTAAAAGCGTTATAGTCTTCCTTAAATAACGTTATTGTAACCCGAACAAAGTACTACACCCTTCCTTAAAGAATCTTACTACAAGTATAATTAAATAAAAGCGTTATAGTCTTCCTTAAATAACGTTATTGTAACCCGAACAAAGTACTACACCCTTCCTTAAAGAATCTTACTACAAGTATAATTAATTAAAAGCGTTATAGTCTTCCTTAAACAACGTTATTGTAACCCGAACAAAGTACTATATATACCCTTCCTTAAAGAATCTTACTACAAGTATAATTAATTTAAAACACTATAATCTTCCTTAAATAGCCCTATTGTAACTCGAACAAAGTACTATCACACAATAACCCACGGAAAGCACTTCTCTCAAAACATAGATTGATTTTATACTCTGTGTGTGTTTCGTATCTTATAATGTCTTGTCGTAGCTGAATGTGATCAGAAAATACAATCGGATTTGACAAAAAAAAAAAAAAGGGTGTTACATCTACAAGTAAGGAAGGAAAGATTATTGACAAAATACAAGATATTAAATTTCCCGTGTTATCATTCAGATTAGAGAAATGACATTTCTTCAAAAGCTATATTTCTCGGATATTTACTCTTACCTCCGGTCTACAATTGCTTTCGGTCTGACAGAAGTAACGTTTCTCACTCTTACTTGGTATCAATTTATATTTTACTGTAAAAAAAAATATTATAAAGATTTTTCTGCTTATCGTTTTACAGTGTCAGTAATATTCAAGCATTGATTTCTCTAAGCTTAATCCTTTAGCTGTGGTATGGTTTAAGTAATCAAGTAGGTGTTTCTTCAAAATTTTTAATGAGTTGAGTTTGTTTATTTTTAGAATTTCGCGCAACACTACTCAAGGACTATCTGCGCTAGAGAAGGCAGCTAGTCAACACCACCAACCACCAAGTCTTGTGCTACCCTTTTTTTTACCAACAATTAAGGGATTGACTATCACATTATAGCGGCTGAATGGGTGCGTATTTTCGGTGACGGGATTTGAAGTCGCGACCAGCAGATTGCAAGTCGAGTGCCCTAACCACCAGGCCATACACTGAATTAATCAAATCTTCTACAGATAGCTGGTATTAACAATAAGTGTGTTGATATACGTTATCGTATATTGCCTGATGATTTTTTATACAACCTACATTTTAAATTCGTAACAACCCTGACGTAGAATAAACAAACGGTAAAAAATATGGAAAATTGGGAGATTCATGCGCGGAAGGTGTCAGCATAATAACAAACACTGTGCTAGATTTTCTTCCCAAAACCTTCGGATGAAACGTCTTTTTGAAGGGGTCTTCTGATGTCTTTGGGTGAGGGTTACCCTCGCTTTCAAAGTCACTTAACTCGTGAACCTTTATGACTTTTGTCACTGGAGGTATTCGAAGGTCACTCACATATTACACATGAACTAAAGGATGCATAAGTTCGCGAGATGTATGGAATATCCCAGGACACAATTATCTGTCATGTAGTATCGTAGCAAGGAGGATATATTGAACAAGTCATTCATAATCCATATAATTTCTCAAATCCATTGTGCTTTGTTGTCAAGTTTCATGCCGATACGTATCATACAACATACCTATTACAAATACACAATGTTTGATATATAACAAAATCACCCTCTATATCGAAGTGTGTAAAAAATTAATTTATTATACCTTAACTGGTGTTGTGAGTCGAAGAGAAAGGATTTCAGGGCAGATGATATGTTTTTTTGCATAAGATGTAAAAAGAAGGCCTAAATTAAACACTAGAATCAATAAAATAATCCTTTTTTTTTATGGTATTTATTGAGTAGGACCAGGGGTGAAATTCTGTCGGTACTCAGCGGTACTGAGTACCGGAACTTATTTTTAAGGCGGTGCTAGTACCGGAACTTATTTGAGGTGCTTTGTCGATTTTTATGTCTACACGTAGATTGTTTTCTTTTTCAAAAACAGGTCCATTTTACCCAACTGAGTTCTTCTACTTTGTTTTTTGAGAATTTCACCCCTGAGTAGGCCTATACTATAACACATTAATCATATTTAAATAAAAAATCCTTAGCATTTATCGTGTATTCTTAAATTACAACAATCAATTGGATAGGCTTAAACTACAGCATAGGAAGAAAAGAAAAAATCCTTAGCTTTAATTGAGTAAGCTTAAACTAAAACATCAGAATAGATAACAACACAATTTCCTCGTCATTTATTGAGAATGCCTATACTACAACACTGGAAGCAATAAATATAAAACAAAATAAACTTAGAATTTATTGAAGAGGCTTAAACCACGACATCACAATAATAATATTTTCTATAAAAATTTTTGAGTAAGCTTAGACTACAATACCAGAATAGAATAAAAGACAACAATATATTCAGCATTTATTAAGCAGGCCTAAACTACAACATCGGAATAGGTAAAAAAATATTAGCATTCAATACTGAGAGCTAGGGAAAGAAAAAACAATTTCCTCGATAGTTATTGAATAGGCCTAAATACATCACCAGAAGCAAAAATAAGAAATATTCCTTAGTTTTTTTCGAGTAGGCTTTAACTAAAACACCAGAATAGAAAAAACACCTCTCTTAGCGTTTACTTAATAAACCTAAACTAAAATCACCACAATAGAAAACAACATAATATTCTTGTTATTTATTGAGGAGGCCTATCTTACAACACTGGAAGCAAAAAATTCTTAGCATTTATTTAATAGGCTTAAATTACAAACCATAATAGAAAAACAAAATCCTTGGCATTTATTGATCAGGCCTAACTAACTTATACTGGAATTAGTATACAAGTAAAATAAGCTAGGAAATTAAGTGCCTTTATATTCTCAAACCCAAGTATTTTTAATAAAGAATTCGTCATTGTAAGTACCGTATTTATCGGAATATAAGACGTACCGGTGTATAAGACGCACCCTCATTTTGAAAACAGAGTTTTGGGGAAAAAAAAGCTACAGTCGCATTTGAAAGATTTTTATTGAACAAAAATTCAGTTTGATACTTTAAAAATTAGTATATATTGTTCTAAACACAAAAGAGCTTAAAACATCGAAATAAGAAAATACCGTAAATCAAAAAAAGGTTTACTGTTATTTAGTTTGGTTCAAAACCTACAACCTTCATTGCTTTCACTGTAATTACTTTTTTATTATTTAGGGAGCATTATAAATATTTATGTTTTTAAAAGAAAAAAAACTAATATTGGTATAAATAACACATTCAATTGAACTAAACTATGCAAGCCTATTTAAATATATTTACACATGGCTTGTGTATATCGTATATATATATATTCGGTGTATAGGACGCAAGCAGATTTTGACATCAAATTTTTTGGTAAAAGAGTGCGTCTTATACACCGAAAAATACGGTAACTCATTGACGATTACTTTGGGTTTTCTTTTAAGCATAATTTCAAGGCTTCGTGAAAAAAGAAAAGAAATTGTAACAGTCATATATTTAAAAAGAATGATTGTAACAAATGGGAATCAGACTTAAGTTGTTTAATTGAAGACTGTAACGAATTTGTCGTTATGTATTTATTTTTATATGAACGTTGTTTAGATTAAATTTGTATTTAAAGATATGCGTAGCTTACAATGTTAGATATGTATTGCGTGTAACGAATTCGTTATATATTTATTTTAATGTCAAAGTTTGTCTGAATTGAATTTATATTTAAAAACGTACCTAGCTTACAGTGTTAATTACGTACTGCGAAACTCTCTCCAATTCTCCAAGGTTGTAGAATATTCGTGAACGTAAGAATCGACAATATATCCACTTCTGTAACCGGTTAAATATAGCTCAAGATTGTTGTCGGAATTTTCGAGAACACATTTTCCGCGCCTATAAAAACAGTCAACGCGACGCACCAAAAGAGAGAGCCTATTAGTCGTCCAGTGTGATAAAAATTCTTAAAGCTTTTTATAACACTCACCAATCGAAAAAATTAAGACATTTGACCAGGAACAGTTATAAATTTCGAACGTCAGTGGATTCTCATTGGACATTAGTAATTTTACGAAGACATATATAAATTCATCGTGGAAAACTTAGTGTGTGTAGCCAAGAGCAAAGCTAGCTAGCTTCCCAGTGGATCGTATCTACATCAACTCGTAATTAACTCACTCATCGTGAACCCTCGATAAGATATCAAGGAGGTTCCAGACTAGAAAACAATTTTTATATTGTTTGTAAGTTTGTGAAACTTCTGTTTATAAATCATTGTTTGTAGTAACTAGTCATAATAATTGTTATTGTAAATTATACTGTTGTATATATATATATATTAAAACATATTTGTGTGGAAAACGAAAACGGTGTGTTTCAATCTTGTTGGCAAATATTGTAAATTGACTAAAATATCGGCATATTTCAAAATACTAAATCCAGAAAACGATTCAACTATTGAATCTAAATTATTTAACTCGGTTTCGGACGAATTCGAAATTCATAATACCTAACGTAATAAGGCATAGATTATCCAACATAAAAATAGCGATTTTTTGCTTTAGAATATTTTACTAACATCGTTTTTTTAACAAAACTAGGAGAAGGAACTTTTGGAACATTTGAAGGTTGAAATACATGCATGAAAACGATTTAAGTTGATAAAACAGAAAGTATACAGTTAACGTGTTTTAATTTCTTTGGTACAAGTTGGTGTATAAAAAAGTTTACGGTTTGTGTCTCAGTGGAACGCTCCGGAAAAGCGAGACGTTTAGTTTTTAATTAAAAATATATATCAAATTTTGGTGTTTTTAGGTCGTTTATTTCTAGATAACATGTTTTGTTTGCTTGTAATTAAGCACGAAGCTACACAATGGGCTATCTGTGCTCTGCCCACCACGGGTATCGAAACCCGGATTCTAACGTTGTAAGTCCGCAGACATACCGCTGTGCCACTGTGGGGCAACATGTTTCGTATCATCTCTCATGGTGTCTCACGACAAGAACATTCTAGATTAATCTGGGACCATAATGCTATATAATAATGTCCTATCTTATGTTGAATGACAATAATAATTACGAAAAAGGATGAAGCACAGTACTCAGTCAAACATGAATCAAATTCTTAAATAGCATTATCTCTACAGCTTGGAGTTTTATATGTAATCAGGAATTCGCTCTTAAGTATTATAATGCATACACTATATTTATATAATCAGTAATTCATTGCTCAATATTAATATATACACTGTATATAATCAGGAATTTACTGTTATGTATTATAATATTTACACTACACATAATCAGGAATTTACTGTTATGTATTATAATATTTACACTACATATAATTAGGAATTTACTGTTATGTATTATAATATTTACACTACACATAATCAGGAATTTACTGTTATGTATTATAATATTTACACTACACATAATCAGGAATTTACTGTTATGTATTATAATATTTACACTACATATAATCAGGAATTTACTGTTATGTATTATAATATTTACACTACATATAATCAGTAATTTACTCTCCAATATTTTAATATATACACGATATGTAATCAAGAATTTAGTGTTTAATATTCTAATAGTTACACTGTATATAATCCGGAGTATATTGTTCAGTATTTTAGTACTTATGATTCCTCTCTATATTGTACATTTTAAATACCAGGTAGAAAGAAACATGTTAACTGATCGACGAGGATTTCCACTCCGCCTGAAGTATATTCGTTTTTTACTAGCTTCTCAAGTTATAGAAGAGCATGCTCATATAAAGTTATTGCTATCCTAACGCTATCTTCAAAGCTTCAGGGTTTAGTCATGAAAGATCCAGCTCCAATAAGGTTGGAAACACAAACACTAGTCGATTTCCTGACATGACTAGGAAGCAGAAAGGTGGTTCACTTTTCGCGTGATGAAAGAGAACCGACGCTTCTTATCATTAATTTGATGTTGTTTCTTTTAGTTCCATACCGGGATGTTCCATGAAAAACTGCTAAGTGAGCGATTTCGAAATGAAAGAATAATGCTTGTAAAAGTGAATAATTCATTCACTTGCTGCTAAACCTTTATATCATTTTTTTTTAGAAAAAAAAAATTGCCGAGAATGAAATCTATGTTTGAAGATACAACTTTATGAATTGTCAGATGGCGCTAAGAGAATACTTTTATTGGCAGACCAGGTTGTTTTGCTAACTGTAAAGAGCTTCGTTTTAGAATCAGCAATTATTCTGACTGGATAAAAAATAACAGTTTTATCTTGAAACTTATTAATGTACAACCTTACATAAAGTACATACAAATCAAATTCTACAATTTTACTTTTAAAACAAGTTAATATTACAGGAAAATCTAATCTAACAGTAAATATGTATCTAAACAAATATTGTACCAGACATCTGCAAACAAGTAGCACAAAGCAGACATGTTCATCTCTAACATCAGAATACAATGTTCATGCAATAGAATATCACTTTTATTAAATATAATGTTAAGTTTGAAAGTATACTCAACGCACCTGAAGTAAAGAAAACATACAACGGCATGAAGTAGCACGTTCACCACGTGGTAACCAAACGGCTGAACCTCGTGGACGGCGTAGTTGAGGCGAAATGACAGCACACATAGTGGACGGTAGGATTTGTGACTTTGTTCCTGCAATACAACATACAGAGGATAGTAAGACGTTTGACTTGATACTGCAATAGAACATAGAGTGTACAGTAATGATTGTGACTTGATCCTGCAATAGAACCTACAGAGGTCAGTAATAATTTTGACTTGATCCTGCAATAGAACATACAGCAGACAGTATTAATTGTGACTTGATCCTGCAATAGAACATACAGTGGACAGTAATAATTGTGACTTGATACTGCAATACAACACATACGTTAACGATAAGACTTGGGATTTGTTCGTAAAACAGAACATATAGTGAACGGTAAAACTTGTGACTTATTACCACAACGGAACACATTGGACAATAAAACTTGTGACTTATTCCTCAAACACAATACACGGTTGTCGCTAAAATTTTAGATTTGTTCTTGCAACAGAATTAGATTTTTCATAACGCTACTCCGCATAATAGAAATGCTTCAATATTATTTACATTTTAGCAGGAACTTTTATACGCTTCCTTTCTGTTTGGGTTTTTAACTCATGATGTCAACAAACGTATTAATAGAACATTGGTACTCGATTGAGGGGTTCTCTAAAAATCATACAACAATAAGCTTTACTACGATTTGTGCATGTGTTCGCGCTTACCTTATGTGCATAGTTTTCAGTAATTATACAAAACACATATTCTTTCAAATCGAATTTTTTCGTGTAAATGGTGTTCTATAATTACTATAATACAGAGTATTCAGCTTCAGTACGTTATAGTAAAACGATTTTGAATGTGCTAATCAGCAAATCATGTGACAACCATAACGGATATGAAGTCGCGGTGTAACGGAATATATAAGATCTACATTTTGACATTTCGTTGGGAGTAGGATATCACCGATAATTGATCAATTTTCAGAAGGGTAAGTAAGAGCTCTTTCCGAAGCAAAATATACAGGGTCTCAGAATTTCCAACTCGAGGATATTCCATGTACTTAATGACATTGGGAAACAAAGAGATATGGATTAATTTGGGGTACCAGGATCATTTAGAAAAAGACCTTCAATAAGTTATACCCCACCATGGGTATACAAAGTGTGGAGTCTTGTATCAAATGAGAATACACGAACTCAAAGGTCAGTGGCAAAAGTCATTTACGTACCCCAGGTAACAGTACATAACACAATCAAGCAGGATCCCTGTCTAGAAAAGTAACACAAGTCACGTGTATACAAGTTGATTGCACAATATATCCGTTCAACTTCGCATACTTCAAGCAGCTGGAGAAGGAAACGGGTATTCATGATATTCCTTACAAAGTCATACTGGTTAAGTCGCTGGACACAGAGCCTATGGCTTTTTGTGCAATTGGACTCATACATTAGAAGAATTATGGAAAGCTTGCAGTAAAAATTGATGTGCTTCGGCGATGACTATCTTATGATGGAGCCTTTTTTCAATGGGAACTGTGCTGCGGGGCTATTATCAAGATATGCGGTCGTCAGATAGAATTCAGTCATACGTGGTAGTGCTCCAAAATCATTTTAACATAACGTACTCAGTCTCTGTTCATTCAAGCCTAGAAAGGCTGATTCGTGCTTGCCTTGTGCAATGTTTTGTATGAGTCATATAACAATAAAGCCTACGAAGACTTGTTTGAGCCTACTTTGTGTTCAATGTCCTATAATCAACTTATAACAATAAGGCGTATAAAGGTTTTCGTACTTACCTTGTGTATAGGGGTTCCCCAGAAATCATTAACGAATAAGTTATAAAGCGGGTTGTGTGGTCGAACATCTCTGTTATCCTGAATTGCTGCAACGTCATCAAAAACAAGCTCGCCACCCAATGAGTTGTAATAAACGACCACTGCCAAGGATACTACTATAAGAGGGCGCACTTTTAAAGGTATTTTCTCCATTATTAATTTGGCTGTGATTCACTTTATCAGGTTTCTGTGTATTTTTCTCTTGTCCTGAAGAATATAAAAATACATAATATCTTTAATATTAATTAGTTGCATAAATCTTGATAAAAATCTCGTCATTTTATTAAAATAAATACGACCACAAACTCCACATAAATAAAACTTTTTAAGGTACCCGACGTTTTGACCCGCGTTTTTATCAAGGGTTAGTTTATCTACAGTTGAATCAATTCAAACTTACAATCTGAACTGAGGGCAATAAAACAATGCAAGCACATATGTGACGTGAGGTCACGTGATACAAAATTTTTTGGGTAAACATTATTCTCCTGAGAAATAAAAATAAATATAATATAAAGTAAATACGTATATAAATGTATGAATAACTTTTAATATTATACAAATTTCGATTTAGACAGGCTAAAATTTATATCTGCTTAATCAAGAGAAGATTCGTATCATTAATTAGCATTGCTTCTTTATATGTGCTTTTTAAGTAGTTGTTATATTTTTAAATGGTGTTTCATTAGACAGTTCATGTGTCAAAACAATGTGTTCAGTTATATCTTGTGTCAACTGTTCGATATCATGGATGTGTTCTCGAAATATTTCGTGTAATAGCAACGATACCAAATATATTTCATTTTTATATGAAGATGTACAAATGAAGACAGTAAACTTGTTATCAATTTATCCACAAAACTTTATACTAAGTTGCTTATCCTTCATTTTCATTCTCATCCTCCTTCAGTTAAAAGAGGTGTGATGTTGGGCAAAACTTACTCACATAGAATAATGTTTCCTCAAAAAATGGTTGTACAACGTGACCTCATGACACGATGTGCGTTTGCATTGTTGTATTATGCTAAATTCAGATTGTAAATTTCAATTGATTCAACTGTAGATACCTAACCCTTGATAAAAACGTAGATCGAAACGTCGGGTACTTTAAAAGTTTTATTTGTCTGGAGTTTGTGGTCGTATTTATTTAATAATGATTTGTAGTCAGTCTCCGGTGTGTACTTACATATCTGAATTTAAGTAATGTTCACCTGTTTCTGCTTTTACAATTTTCAAGTCTGTCATAGGTTTGATGTAATTATTAGAAGACGTGCCAGTTACTTTTGTCAATAAGTTAGAGACTTCTTTGGTTCTACAGTCTTGCCTGTCTCCTGTTCGTTAAATAATTAGTTATGTTAAGAAGCTAGAGAGTTTTTCGACTCTACAGTCTTGCCTGGCTCCTGTTTATTAAATGATTTGTTGTGTCAAGAAGCTAGAGACTTCTATGGATGTAAAGTATTACCTGGCTCTTGTTGGTTAAATAACGCAGGCCTGCCATGTTTTTATTGTACGCTGAATCCGAAAATGATATCCATTTTTCTCCATCACGTACAGATTTTTCACATAACGCAATACATAAAAGATAGACCAAAACACGTAGTCTTGAGAGTAAAAGACGTAGATTTCAAAAAAAAAATAGAGATGAATGAGGATGCATATTCGTTTGACACAGTGTTCTTCCCCTTTCTTCAGTTTGTTTGTATTTTTGTTAACAAACGTAATAATACAAAAGGTTCATTGTGGTAAATGAAAATAATAATTTGATCTAAGTACGCGATTTTTCTTCCCGGTCTGTAAAAAACTCCTTACATGATAGAAAAAAAATGAACATTATTTTCTAAATCTGCGTAGCTAAATTATGGAAAATCCGTTATTAAAACCAAATCAACTTTTATGAAGTTTAAATTCGCAGGCCTGTGCAATTAGTTCTGTCAAGAAATCAGTGATTTCTTCGGTGCAACAGTCTTGCATGGCTTCTGTTGTTTAACTAATTATTGGTCAATGCGATAATAAAAGCTGGTACTCCGTAGTGATACAAAAAAAGCTACTTCATCCTTAAGTTCACGTGAAAGAAGAAGAAAAGGAAGGGACAACGTTAATCGTTAAAACTTATTAACACAGACCTAGCATATTTCAATAATTTTCGAGTATCATGATGAGATTACAGTTTAAACAATATAATGCTGTCTCTCTTTTATATCTTTCTTATTGTTTTACTTTAACACTAGAGCTATTATTGTCACTTTGGCGCGAAATTCAAAAACAAACAAACCCTCTAGTCTTACACTGCTAAATTAGGGACGGCTAGCGCAGATAGCCCTCGTGTAGCTTTAAGGCAGCTAGTTATCACCACCCACCGCCAACTCTTGGGCTACTCTTTTACCGACGAATAGCGGGATTGACCGTCACATTATAACGCTCCCACTGCTGAAAGGGCGAGCATGTTTGGTGTGACGGGGATTCGAACCCGCGACCCTCGGACCACCGGGCCGCTTTAAAGATACAAAAGTTACATAAAAATAAAATTTAGCACAAATAACATGATTCACATTTATATGATGTATATTATGCTTCAACCAGGAGTCGTAATTTAATTATTATTATTTTTCTTACAATTTTCAAACTTCCTTTTTTTTATATATAAATCCGCGGTGATTTGTTGAATATGTCGTTTCTATACGCATGTGTCGCTACTCAAGAAATCATACTTTACGCATGTGTCGCTACTCAAGAAATCGTACTTTACGACTAATTTACTTAAAAATTGTTGCCTTAGTACACAATGGGTTATCTCTGAATCATCTCTGCTATTTTTTGTGTAATGCAAATGTCACACTATGATTCTTTTATATATCGAAACTGACACGATCTCTTGTAGGTTTAACTTTGAAAAGCCCGTGCAATGTCCCTTATCAAGTGTTTGAATAACACCCTCACGCACTATTTGGAGGCTTAACATTAATTCAAACGCTAGTGAAAAGCTTAGTTTATATTACACTATTGATTTGGAGCTTAGAGAGGTTGTCTAAATTGAACTAAAAAAAACATATTGTTTTAGTTTATAAGGCTTCTTTAAATATCCTGGAATTCTCTATTTTTGAGTGAAAAATATGCATAGGCGTTACCAGCAGTTAATTGTTGTTGTATTATTAAAGTCAAACTCTAGGGATTTGCAATTTAAACGTACACAAATTTCTAGTATCTTAACAAGAAATTTACCTTTCAAACAACTACAATATTCTAGTTCCTTAACCCTAGATTTATTGATGAGATTTATCGACTTTTTAAAACATTTTATTCTGAACTATTTCTGCACCAAAGTAGTTGTGGGTCCCTGACAAGGTTCCTAACAATATATAAGTCACATAGACAAAAACATTATATCAATATCGCTATTAATTCAACTTGTATTTGTATTTTGTATTTATGGCAAAGCTACTAAGACTGTCTGCCGTTGTCCTTAATTTGAACTCTTGACTATAGGGAATTGTATCTGAACAAAAGCCGATGAGAACGCTTTATAACATTAAAAGTAACTTATAAGCTGAACTTACTTGGCCCACAGGTGATGAATCTAGCGACTTGACCTATACCTTTTCACATAGAGTAGTATGTATACCTATTTCATTCTCCAGCTGCTTCAGATATGCGACGGTAAACCCATGCTCTGTTGGTCTCCTTTCCAAACAGAG